TTTCATGGATATCTCTGAATTGTTCCAGTGTAGTTGCCATTCCTCGCTTATTTTGTTTCTAAAATATTGTTTTAGGTCGCTATTAACGCATTTAGTGAATAATGTTGATTGTGAATTTTCTGCTACTTCCCCTGGCCAACTGATCAGCTTTTTCGTTTAAAGTTATACCACAGTCTGACAGAACCCAAAAGAATTTAACAAATCGGTCGTTTTCTTGACATCTCATTAGTTCTGACTTTATAAGTAATAGAATGGGATGGTTTGTGTATAACTGTTTCATAGAGCTGAGAGCATTTAAAGAATCAGTTATTATCAAAGAGTTTGTTATATTTTTATTGTTTACAAATGTTATTGCTTGCAAGATAACAAGAAGTTCTGCGGAAAATATGGATGATCGTAGGAAAAGTGAGAAGGAGTTTAGGTTATCTGCTGCTTTCTTTTTAAATATACTACGTGGTTGTCATATTTGTTATTGATAGTAAGACTTGTATCACAAATAGGCAGCTGTATTCTCCAAGGAGGTTGATGATTAAGGTTAGTTACATTGTATGTATCAGGAAAATGTATGTTTAAACTATTTTGTAATTTTTTGATCCGGATATAAAACGGGGGATTTAATCTTTGTAAGGTTTTAATTGTCGATGTGAATCTGTCAGCTAACATGTTTTTAAATGTCGGTATATGTGGATTGGCTAACAATTTAGCAGCATACACAAGATTGAGGTAGTTTTTTTTTATTCGAAGGGAAGGTTCACCTGATTCACAATATAAACTTTCAATTGGGGTAGTATGATGAGATCCAAGTACTATTCTTATTGCTGTACTGTGTATTGGGTCTAGTAATTTAAGTATTAATGCTTTAGCTGAATTATAGGCAACTGCGCCATAATCTAGTTTAGAACGAATAAAAGTTCTGTAGACAGTTATCAGTTTGGAAATCAGCTCCCCAGTGCTTGTGAGATATGCTTTTCAATAAATTTAGACCATTTTGAGTTGTTTGTCGAAGATGAAAAATATGATCTTTCCAGATTAACCTATGATCTAGTTTCATTCCTAGGAAGGTAGTTGATTGAACATAAGTAATAGGTAACGAGTATAAGGTGAGATTAGGTGCTAGTATAATGTTTTTTGGGCTCTTGCTAAAGAAAATTGCTTTTGTTTTGTTTACAGATATCTGTAGACCACATCTGTCTGACCAATTTTCTAGTTGATTGATAGCGGCTTGTATATGTCTGATTAGTGTTAGAACATTTTTCCCTTGAGAAAATATGACGAGATCATCAGCATATAAACGTGCCTTTACTAATGAACTAAAGGATTTAGAGATATCATTAATCGCAATAAGGAACAATACTATGCTTAGTGTAGATCCTTGTGGGATACCATTAATTTGCATTGTTGGCTCTGAACAAACATTATCTACACGAACTTTAAACTCACAAAATATTAGAAAAAAATTTATAAACTTAAGGATATTACCTTTGATTGACCATCTGGATCAGTTTTGTAATATGTCAGATCTCCAAATTGTATCATACGGATGGGTTATGACAAAGAAAACTGCTAAACACTCTTGATTGCATCCAAATGCTTCGTGAATTTTGGATTCTATATCAACTAGATTATCTAAAGTAGATCTTGATTTCCTGAAACCACTTTGAATAGGGGTAAGAAGTTGTTTGTCTTGTAGATACCACAGTAGTTTATTGCTTACTATTTTTTTTCCAGAATTTTAGATATAGAACATGTTAGCGAGATCGGTCGATAAGACTCCGGGTCTGATTTTCTCCTCCCCTGCTTAAGGACTGGAATAATAATTGACTAGTGCCAACTATCAGGAAACACATTTTTTGTCCAGATAAAATTGTATATTTTTAGTAGGTATTGTTTACCTTCTTTGGGTAATGATTTTAAAAATGCAACTAGAATGTTATCAGGTCCAGGACTGGTATATTTTGTACTGTTTAATAATTATAGTAACTCGTCCATTGAGAGTTCGACATTAAGAGGAGAATTAGTATGTTCTTCTAAATCTATATAAGTGTTTTCTAAATTTTATTTGTGTATTATGGAATTTGTAGAGATAATGTCATTGCTAAAGTATCTTTGATACGTATCAGCAAGTATAACTTGTTATGTTCTAGATAATGTATTGAAGGGTTTTTTACCATTCATTTTATTAATCATCTGCCAAACTTTGGAAATAGGAGTAAGGAGTACTTAGATGAACTTAAGGATGAGACATACGCTTTCCATGCTTCTTTTCTGCCTTTGTTCAATATATATCTACAGTAGGCTCTCTTTTGCTTCGAGTTGGTTTTGGAGTGTGGCGAATTTTTTTAAATTTGTAAAAAGTTCTTTTTGACTCTTTGATTGCCACATTACATTCCTGGTTTCACCAAGGGACTGCAGGATGTTTTTTTTTTGGAAAGTTATAAAACCTGACAATTCTGCAGCTATTCTTATAAGCTGAACAAAACTGGAAACTATAGGATTAATATTTATCACTAGGAGGAGTTAGCGCTAATATGGATCGAGATATTAAAGAAGAATATAAAGACCAGTCGGAATTCTTTAGATGCCATTTATTAGACAAAGCAAAAGAGGGAGCTGTATTGTAATTCGTTATAATATTGGGAAGTGGTCACTTCCATGTAGATTAAATGTGACTTGCCAAGACAGTCCAGGTTCTAAAACTGGGGCACATAAAGTTAAATCAATTGCTGAACCGCCACCTGTAGAGACATTAAATCTTGTAAAACTACCATCATTAAGTAAGTTGAGATTAAGGTTAGTTATAATTTGTTCAATTTTACGCCCTAAACTATTGGATTTATTTGATCCCCATAGAACATGATATGCATTGAAGTAACCTAAGATAATTCGTGGTTGAGAAATTTGATTAAAAAGGTCTAATGATTCGCGAGCTGAAGGATGAGTTCCAGGAGGAATGTATATATTACAGATGTTTATTTTTTAAGGTCCTTTCAAAGTTATTGCTGTACCCTCTCATTGTGTATTTAAATCAATTATTTCTTAATCATATTGGTTATGTATATAAATAGTTGTCCTTCCACTAGCCTGGTTTGCATTAAGTCTATTTTTAATATATGGTTTGTAGTTTTTTAGTTTGTAAAATTTCTGCTGTTTAACGTGTATCTCCTGTAGACATATTATGGACGGTATGAATTTGGACATTAGTATTTTAAATTCTTCTAGACGGGTGTAAAACCCATTCAGATTTCACTGAATTATGGAGTTGAATTTTTAATTAATAGGTGTATCGCTGCAATCTGTAGAGGAATAGCAATAATCCTGTAGTTTACAAAGTTTCTTCCTTAGTCTTGTACATCGTGTTTTCAAATATCTTTGTGATAGCACTGGATGAAGTTTTTTAAGGAGATCTATTAAACCTTCGATATTTGTTGTGTTTTTTAAGCAATACTAAGCAGATCTTCAGGTGTTTTCAAGTAAATCTATTACATCTTCTCGACTTAAACAGCCATTGTTTGACTTATTTTGGATGGTGAACTGGACAACTGGTGATTGAGAAATGTATGTTGTATTGCCATCAGTGGATTGATTATTATGATTTGGGCATTGAGATGCTAAATGATCAGTTTGTTTACAAATAAAATACGTTTGTTTTTCTAATGAGAGAAATATTCGATAGTTCGATTGATCATGGTTAATTAGTATTGAATCGGGAATATTTTCAAGATTTGTAGGGGCTAAATAAGTAAAACGTCGAAAACTAATGATATGTCTAAAACAAGGAGTTGATTTTCCGATCCGTAATATGATATAGAAGGAGATACATTAGAAATAATTAGTTTTTCGTTTGGAGTAATAAGTTTTCTAGCTTGGATACGATGTTGGTTTACTATTATTATCCCATTGTCTGTTTCCAAAAAGTTTTGAACAATATTTTCCGAAGTGAAGTAGATGCATATACGATCATTAACAATTCTGGATATTGCAAGTATATTTTTGGGGTCAACTAAGTTGGCTACAGCATTCAGGTAATCCTCGATTTTTGAATTTGGAAGTGTATTTACTACAATTGCTTGGTTTTTTTAAGGAAATATGTTGGTAGGTTCATTTAAAACTGTTGAATATAACTTTGGTGCAGTCGTATCATTTTTGGGGATTTCTTGTTATGAAAAAACATTTGATGATGAAGCTTGGTTCATGTTAATCTACGGAACCTGAGTACGGTCCTCGCACGAATACCAATACAATAGAAATTATTGATAATAACTCGATGTAATTTAATAAATTAAATTACTTACAATTAATGTCCAAAAGTATCAACAATAAATAATTATTTGTCAATCATTTACACTTTACTACACTTTTAGCTTTCAATATTTTTAAACAAAAGCACAAAAACTAGGTGCGATTAAGGTAATTAGGTTTTGCTTCGTTGAACGCTCGAAGTCGAATCCAGTTTGTTTAGTTTATTTTAATAAGTTACAGTGGTGAAAAAGAAGTGAAAGTGAAGTGTAATTTTTAATTTTAAATATCTCACTCAAAAGAAACTTTTTGTTCATTCTAATGGACTTTCGGCCCTAGGTAATAATGTAATCTTTCATTTTCGATTTAAATTTTTCAAAAATACTTATTAGTTTTCTCAGGATTCAAAAAAAAATGAATGCATTTAAAAGCATTGGCCCGAAATTTTGGGCCTACGCGCTTAAGTTGTTTTTATCCCATTTGGTATCTATTTTTAGTTTTTACTTTTATTATTATTTCATCTATGGTCAGGTTGAACAATAAAGGACTCAAGAAATCTACGTGTCTTATCCCATTGCTAGTTTCAATTGGGTTAGTTAGTTTTTCTTCTACTTTTACTTTATTGTGTTGTTCTGGTAGATGTTTTCGATCGTTTTGATTATTCCTAGAGGTATCTCTCTTACGTTGAGAAATATTGAGAAAACAAATTAGACAAAACAATTCAATATAAATAATTTTATAAACCTAAATATTTTTATACTAACCCTAAAAGCGTAAGTAGAATTTAAATTATGAAGTTCAATTACAATTAAACTTCCATAATCAGGAATCGTATCTTCTTTCAAAAGATTCATAACACTTAGAAGACATACGATATTATTTTCATTAACGGACCATATAAACATTTTTTTTTCTGGAAATTTACCATCAATTTTTGACTGGGTATCTTCAAGAATATGTTTTAATAGATATCCTAAAATTAAAACAAATAAGTTAATACAATAGGCCTTTATACACAATGACAATTTTAATATTTCATTCATAAACGAAATTTTGATTTGTTTTGATGTTATTGAACACTTTTTTATTTGATGAATGAAAAATGGAAATTATGTATTACAAAAAAGATGACAAAACATGATACTACTTTACTAATATTAAAACGTTGTCCGTTCTTTTAGCCCAGCCTTTTTAACTAAGTCTATTATGGCGTTTGGTGACACTTTTACGAAGTCGTAGGGTTCCAGATGATAATACTCAAATGGACTAAGTCTTATCATTGATTATAAACCACTACCTAGATAGCTCACCTCGTGGTAACCGAAAGACGTATCAAAAACTAAATGGCGTTACTCGAAAACCGTATCGAGATTCTTATGCTCTCTCTAAATTGCGAGGAGATAGGAGTGGTGTCAGAGCCGAACTTACCCTATAAGTGTATTATCTGTGTCAAGTGTTGTGACAAGTTATAGCGAAATTTTATAAAAAAAGAACTCACATTTTAAATAAAATTGCCTCTGTAACGCATAAATGTACTTACTTGGGATATTTTGAAAGAAACGATGGAAATAAATAAATAAATAAATAATATATCTTTCTTTAAATTTCCCCTGAAAGACGTAAAGCGCACAAAAATTTGGCAAAAAAACTGCGGGAATATTGATATTATATTGATGAATATCAGTGATCTAAAACAGAGGGTAATTTGACAGCATTATTTTGCAGTGGAATATATTTACCAAAGTGGCCAAAGAAAGTTATTAAGAAAAAATTATCTTTCTCTAAAATTTACACAGTTAGCAAATGATTTAGGTGAGTACTCATCAACTTTAGAAATATTTTTATGTTTGCGTAATGTTGCTTTGTCAATGGGAATAATAATATTTAAATACATGTTATATAAAATCAGTTGATATTAAGTGATTTATATATATTTTTATACAATTAAATTAAAAGAGATTTTTTTAAAATATCAATGCGCTGTTAGTATCACTCCAGAAATAATGAAGATGCTTGTTTTGCTTTTATTAAAATTACATGTACATTTCAATGATTACCTATTTTAGGTGATACCCCACCACTCTGCTCTATATACGTTTATTGCGGTACGAAACGTAAAAGATCTACAAGTGGCGATTGTATGGTTAGGTCAACTCCATCGCCTAAGAGATCAAGTAGTAGTCTCAGTGATATTACCAGTTTTGAAATTAATTTGCCCACAAAACTTGAAACTGAATTGACGGAGAAGTTAAAAAAATGGAGTATCAAGTAAATGCTTTAAAGAAGAAGAATGTCAGAAGAACAGTCAGAGTTGTAGAAGAACAACAAAAAACAGAAAATCGGCAACCAAATTCACGTTACAGGTACTATTAGATAATAAAAGCAAATACGTGCACACTTTTGTTAATATGCAGTTTTTACACAAAAATCGTTCACAATGGAGTCGCAATGAAAAGGATTTAGCTCTGGCCGTTTATTATAAGTCTCCTAGTTGTTACAAATTTTTAATTAGATTTTTTAACTTTATATTACCTTCGGTAAAAACAATTCAAACTTGGTTGCGTGTCATAAAATTAAGAACTGGTTTAAACACTTCCTTAATTGATAAGTTGAAGAAAAAAGCAGAGACAATGGATGACTGGAAAAAAATTTGTGTGTTAATGTTTGATGAAATTTCTTTGTAAAAACAATTCATCAATTAACCTATATTTGTCCACTGCTGAACGTAGGCCTTCCGTAAAATTTTCCACCTATTTCTATTTTGAGCTTATTGCATCCAGTTTGTGGTGATGCTCTTGATATCATCTGTCCATCTAGTCGGTGGTCATCCTCTGCTTCGATATGCATCTTGCCTCGGTCGCCATTCCAGAATCTTTCTGGTCCATCTATTATCCGTTCATCTGGCAACATGTCCGGTCCAAGCCCATGTAGCCATATCTATTTTTTCAACTGCATCTGTGACTCCTGTTCTTCTTCTTATTTCTAGGTTTGCTACTTTATCTCTGATAGTAATACCTAATATTGATCTTTCCATAGCGTGTTGTATAATTCTTATTTTATCTATAGTTCTTTTTGTCAGAGTCAGTGTTTCTGCACCATATGTAAGAACCGGTAAAACGCACTGGTTAAAAACCTTTCTTTTTAAACAAACTGGGATACTAGACTTGAAAATATTATTCAATCTTCTAAAGATAGCCCATGCGAGACCTACCTGACATACAAAAAAACTGAAATACAAAGAAGGATAGGTCTCGCATGGGAAAAACAATTGGAGTACAATAAACCTGGAGGCCAGGGTTTCAAGATTTAGGTGCTTTAGGAAGAACAAACAAACTTGCCAACACAGGTCTGGTTTTCATCATGCGTGGCTTGCTACATAACTGGAAGATTCTGATTTGTTATTTTGTTACAGGTGGTCCAATACATAGCGACAACTTAAAAAACATTGTAGTTGAAGTTGTTTCAAAATAAGGTTTTTCAATATTTTACCGTGAGTTAATGGACTAAATCTGGAAATAAATTCTGTATATTAGCTTGAAATATTTTAGTTTGCATCAATTTTGGAAATTAATTTGTTTTAAAAGTTACAAAAAAGTAATTTACATGAGATGTAATTTATCACTGCTAATTTTATTATGTATTTTATATTTTGTTATTTTTTTGTATTGTGTTGATAAATAAATAATTTGCAGAAAACCTTTACTATTTTCATAAATCAATTTTTAGCGTTTTTTCTAAAGTAAAATCGGAATTTCATAATATAGATTACAAGCACGTTAAAATTATATGTGAAAATGCTGAATGCCATGCTTATATCGTCCTCTATTGCACTAGAGAATTGCTGGGCCAGGGAACTCAAATTTATTTTTCAATATTGGCAAAGATTTCAATGAATATGAATGTCGCCACAATACAGTCAGGTAGTACTTAGGCGTGAGGGGCAAAGAGGTGTAAGTGGGCGGAGTTTAACACTGAATTCGTTTTTACCTTAGAGTGAGGTATCTAGGTAGTGGTTTATAATCAATGGTCTTATCTATCCGATTCTGGGCAGTTGCACAGAACATCTTCCATCATCTCATTATTAGACTGACAGAATCTGAAATTTTCACTTTTTATCAGTCCGATTTTGTTCATGTACAACTTGAGACGAGAGTGTTCTTTTAAAAGACCTATGATGATTCTTATATCATTCCTATTTATATCTAATAGATTTTTAGATCTCTGCTTCGAAGGTTCATCTATAAAATCTTTGTAAGGTTTAAGGCCCATTTGTTCGTACCAGTACTTAGGTTTTATCCGTTCTATCCAGTTCAATATTGTTCTTTTGGCGGCGCCTCTTGCTATGCAAACGAGAGGCTGTGGGTCCATAAATCTTTCTTTTGCACCTCCCCTGGCAAGGAGGTATGCTTTTTCGTTCTTTTTAATACCAGTATGGCTAGATACCCGGAGTAAACTTACTTAATTTGACTTGATTTCAGTGTCTTTAATACCGCCTTATGTAAAGATATATCGCTTTAGCTATTATTTTTTATTAATTTCAACAACACATTTCTCCTTAAAATATAATAGGGAAGTGATTATCTAGGCCTTTATTAAGACATGTGTGTGAGACATCGTTGGTTTCTCTATGTATACTTCCGCTTCAATGGCTTTATTCGTTTGAGAGACCAACGGCTATTGATCTCCCATTATAAAATTCATTTTATTTGTCTCCAATTCGTCTCTCTCCAGTACGAAAGTAAACAGCTTTTTGAAATTATATTATCATTTGAAACTCAGAATAATTTTTTATTATCTCTCTATATTAGATCTTTATATTATTCTGTATACTTCCACCTTCGCCTCCTCCATCTATATATGTAAAGAAGGAAGGTCAAGTATGGCCTCCATAAAGGGGGATGTGGTAATTGAGATTCTGCTCTTTTAATTAAACATGCTTATGATGAAGCTAATGCACCTTATCTTTGGTGATCTTTTGTTGGCATATAAAATATCATACTAGTGCGCCATACGTAATGAAAGGTCTGACTACAGTCCTATATAGCCAGTATATTGTTGAGGTTCCAAACCGCATGATTTACCACACATGTTTCGATATGTCTAAATTGAAATCTTAGCTTTGTTCGATATTTTCTTCTTACTATAATTCCTAAATCATTCACACAGGCACGCACTGCTACCCTTGTGCGTCAAGGAACAAGATCAGCTTATCCATCAGAAGTGACTACAGAAGGGGAGAAAAGCACTTTCTAGCTGTTTTGTGGGTATCTGTAAGCTGGTTTGGCCACAATCTTCTCTTCTTTCAGATCTGTTAGAATTAACCTATTTTAATCAAGTTGCATACTGTATTAGTTCTCCGTATTGATACTGCTAACTCATAAAGATTTTCCTTTTTGGTAGTCATAATTGTTTTCAGGGTATTCCTAAAGTAGTCTTAGTCGTTGGTATATAACCTACTGCTATGCTCTAAAGAGCTTTATTAGGATGGACAACTCTGTCCAATCCTTTTTGTAGTAGGGCAGGAAATATTATGGTCCACGAGTATTCTCTGGTTTATTGTTTTATATAAACAATTTTTAATCTTTTTTCCCAGGCCGTTTAATTGTCTTATATTTCCAGCTTAAGTCTGTTCATTAATAATTGTTAAACCCGGGAAGCGGTTCTGCAACAAAAGCTTTACCGTTTCCTTTTTAGATTCCGTAAAAGTGTTTTCAGGTCTTTTAAATAGGTCTGGTCCTTGTGGCAGATTATTTGAAAAGAATCTAGTGCTGAAAGGTATATTTAAAATACTCGTAGATAACCTCCCCCAAGATTCCCTTTTTGTTTTTGTCAGCAATAATTTTGTGTCGTTCCCAAAGCTTTGGCTTTATTCGATAGGCAGATTGCTGCTCCATCAAGGCGGTTTTCTGTTATTTGTCTTGATTTCGACTGGATATCCTGGTACGATTTTTCTCTGATTCCCAATTATTATCA